GGATTGCTGCACTGGGCTATTCCCTCCTCTGTTGCCATATTATTATTTATATAGTATCCTGAGAGTACTGCATGGTGCACATGCAAACTGCACAGGCACAGTTCCAGGCCTGAAGACCTTCAATCTAAACAGACAATATAGAACGGGCGGTGTAATAAATTGCAGAGCTTTCCTTGAACTCTAAGTGGTGTCTTTCAGCTCTAAGATTACAGCCTTTAACCACTTTGAACCGAAAAGCATTTTTTACAGTTCTCATCCTTCTGTAGCACCACAACTCAATCCGACCAGATGGGTAAGTGAAGTGACTGCTCTTCTCCAAGTTGCACCACTTTATTATTATTATTTTTTTTTTTTTTAAGAAAAAAAAGGCTTATTTTTTTAAAAACAAACAAACAAAAAAAAACCAACAGTATTTCTGGAAGTCACTTGAATAAAAATGGTTCTTAGGGTTTTAAAAAAGGAGATAAGACTTGAGCCAAAACTCTCTGTAGATGTCCCATTTGTATCCAAAAGGCTTTGAATTGGGGCGTTGGAGAAGACATGCAGTTGTTTGGTACAGAAGTGAGTACCCTTGGAATGAAAATGTAAGAACAAAAGCTCTAAGCCTTTGACAAAATAATCCTGTATCAACCAATTGTAAATGTTGAACAACAACAATAACAAAAAAAAAAGCACTTCAGGCTGTTTTACAGAGGTTTGCACTGCCAAGTGGATCTTAAATAAGATGAGGATATGCAACGTGCCCTGAGCGCTACCAAGATGAGGAACTATTTGAACCGGCTCTGGAAAGGCCATGGGTATGACAGAGAAGGGAAAAAACTATCACAGATCATCTGTGGTCCACAGTTACCAGCTCAGGTTTTCCATCACAAGGGAGCTTTCTTCCCTGAGGGAGCTCAAGCTTGCTTAACAGTGGGATAAATTTCCACAAGAGTCGAAGGCTCATAAACTTAAATGTTTTCACTTCAGCTGGAAGATTTATTTCTTTGGGGTTCTTTAACATGGAACAAGTATTTATATTTTGTTTTTAAATGCCTTGTTAAACCAAAAACAACTCTGTTACCCTTTTCTGTTCCTGCTAAGAGGCAAGTAGGGATTATAAACTTGATGGGCCAAGTATCTCCCTGACAGATAGAGCTAGACCCACCTGAGTCAAGTTGCGCTGGGAAAGCTTCCACGAGCCAGCCAGCCCTCCTTGGTCTCCATCCTTCAGACTCTCCCCCACACGTGTTTCTGTGTCAGAGAATAATGCTGGTGTGTGTTTTGATCCCATCCTTGATTTGGCTCAAAATCTAAGCTATTAAAAGTAATTGAAGGGAAATACAATTATTTCTGCTTAAAATAATTATTGCTTAAAATACCCTTAAATTAACAAGTCTGCTTTTATTTCCCATGTTTCCAGCAATTATGTCGTTTGCTTATGCCAGCTTCGTGTGTGAATTTCAGCAGTCCTGAAGCTGAGAAATAATACGCTGGCTGTAAACTGAGGCACCGTAGAAGCACATTTATACTCCATTACCAATATTTCTGCTTTGCCATACTTCATCTGTTCTTGTGTTATGCCTCTTCTGATTTTGGAGGATGGGGAATGAAGGAGAGAGAAGCCTGCTGCACCAGTGCTCAGAACTGTTGATCTTGCACTTTCTCTGACCACTGCTTTCACTAACAAATTATGATTAAGAGGCAGGAAAGAAGAGTAATCCTGCCAGTGTGAGCTTGGGTTCCCTCTGCAGATTTATTGCTGAGCAGGCAGAGTTGTTTTGGAAGGCAGAAAGAGAGCGTGTTTTGCTGTTTCTCAACTTGACAATTTGACTTCTTCAGAGCAGCTTTCATTTCTTGCATAAAGTAATATATCCACCCCAGGGAAACTACACAAAGGCAGTGTGGGGGCAATTTACTTCAATATTTACATTAAGGGTAATTCGAATTAATGCATTTTATCTTTTCTATCCAGATAGGAAAAACGCTGGATGAAAACAAACACAATTATATCTGATTTTGCTGAGTCAGATCCACCTCTGCTAGGGGAAAAAAAAAAAAAAGAAAATCCAAGTTGCAACTTTAAATGTTCCTTTAAATGTTCTTCCTTGGCACAAATAGTAATAATAGTAATTATAATATATTTTTTATTTTTTTATTTTTTGAAAAGCCAGGGCCTCTCTCTCTGAGAAAGGACACAGGAATTTCTGTGTTAGAGAAAGAAGTTTCAGAAGGGCAGGGGTATGAAACTCTGGTACATGATACAGATTTAATCTGACCTTAAAGACCATCTCCCAAAGATAATTCAGTTATTCTGCTAACTGCAGTGTCCCATATGTGTGCAAATGCTTAAATGGCAACGCTGCTCTCTGTGGTTTGTTGTGAAGGTACCTGCTGCCCCTGTGGGCACTGGGTGCCCTCAGAGTCATGTTAACAATCTCTGAGCATGAAAAAAAGGTTGTATAAGTGGTAGAACCTGGAATGATTAATCCAGCCATTTATGAAAAGCATCAGAAATATGCTATAAGAAACACTTGAAGTCATTCTGTAAGCTGATGGCAAAACACACCAAAGCAGCTGTTCAGTAAAAGTTTCCATCAATACACCAGTCATCTTTTCTCGCTGCCTCAGATCCTGCAAGTTGCCATCCTACAGCCTCAGACTTTTCTGCTAGTGCAGTGCTTTTGCTAACTGGGAACTACAGCAGGACATATGCTTTGAGGGTGCAGGCCCAAGGACAAAGTGGTGTTATTTGTAGCATTTTCTATCTGGTAGTCACCATTCATAACTTACAACTTGTACCATGAAAAGGCTGAGAAAACCATTGATTGATTTAAATCTGACTTAATTTTTCACCAAAGGCAAAAACTCCACGCACTGGTGCTTAATCATCCTTTGCATCATGTACAAGCATGCAGTTTTCCATACAAATTCCATAAGGTGTTTAATCTGCTATTGCAAAAATACTTATTTGCATACAATCACACCCTACTGTGGTTTTAAATGTTTTCTGAGAATACATTTTGAGCCTATTATCTTAACCTCACTGCCTTTCTACCCACATATAGACTAGCAGACATGCAAACCCTTTAATTTTTATTCTGGCCTGACTGCAATTAAGTTGAAGTGCATTTGTTCTTTAAAACTATAGGACTCAGCTTATTCCATAAGTATTGTTTGTGACTGCACTGTCGTACAGCTGCCGAGCTGCAGCACGGGCTGTGTCTTTCAAATAAAAGACAGATCTCCTCTTGTTACAGGAGAAAGCAGCGATGGGCAGGTCGGGGTATTTTTGTAGTGCAAATTGTTTGTTCGTGCCATGCATCCCAGTTGCTGAACACAGTCAGTCACAGAGAGCACACGGGCATCTTATCTTCCAAAAATCTTAACCTAAATACCGAGAAGCACTGACCCTGGAATATTCCTGGAGTATCTTCCAGGAATGAGGCTGCACAGCCGCTCTGGACAACTTCTTCCAACATTTGACTACATAGGAGAAATGTATGTTTAGCCTCTACATTTCTGGAAACAGTGAGCTCCATACTCTTGTTCTGTAGCATCTGAAAAAAAAAAAAACAAACACCACTATCTTTTGACTGTTTTAAACCTGTTCATTACTTCCCATGTTGCCACTTACTAGAAGCACTGGATGATAGCTCCCTACTTTCTCTCCACAGCCCACCACTTCCTGTAATTCAGCCCCCTTCCCTCAGTCATCCAGGCATGGTGCATTTTGTCTTTGTCAAACTGAAAAGTCCAAGTGTTGGCAGTCATGTTCTAAACAGAAATCATTATCAATGCTTTATTATTCTTTTTCTACATTCATATTCTTTCTGATGTGGGACACCAGAGCTTCATGCTGTTCTCAAGATGTGGCCGTACCACCGACCTCCATAAAGATGTCACAGCACTCTTTGCTCTGCTGTCTCCCTTTTCAAATAATTCCTGATATTTTTCACTTGGAGCTAGAAATGAAGTTTCTGAAGATCCACCTCTAGTGACTCTTAAGATGTCTTCCCTCTGTAAAACCATGCGCATATAATTAAGATTGGTTTTGCCCATATGCATCAGCTTGCATGTACTGAGACTGAATTTCAGCTTCTAGCTTAACACCCGTGCTCAGCAGGATGGGATCCCTCCGCAGCTCCTTGCTGTCAGTGTTGTATTCCATGACTGCAGAGGATTTTGCGTCAGCAGCAAACTGTGCTGCTGCCTTACTCACTCTCCTTCCAAGACCATTTCTGAGTACGCGAACCCGGGCAGGTCCCAGCATGAGTCCTCGTGGGAGTCTGATCGTAACGTTCCTGCAGTGTAAAAAATAACTATTTATTGCTTCCCCATTAACCCTTCTCTTCCAACCCGTTACTAATTCACACGACAGCCTTCCTTCCAGACCTGTGACAGCTAACTTTAAGAGTGGGACTGTGCCTAAAACTCTTTTGAGATCACTGCCTTGACTATATCAGCCTGGTTTATCAGTTTGTTCATTTCGTCAAAGAGCTTCGTAACTGTGACAAAGCTTTTCTATCTACAAAATGCTGTGTTGATTTTTCCACGGTCTGACGTACTTGTTTGTACACTGAAGCCTCACCCCAGCTCCCTGCCACTGATTTGCCTGTGTGACCTGAGACATGTCTTGGTTAGGTCTCAGTAAGAGGACTCAGATGCTTTAAGTGAACACCTACGATCCTCAAATCCAAAATAACTACCTTCAAAATCCTTACCCAGTTGCTTCCCAGCCATGGAGATGCTCACATTCCATGAATTCTGATTTCAGTGAGGTTCAAAGAATCAAAGAATCAAAGAATATCCTGAGTTGGAAGGGACCCTTAAGGATCATCAAGTCCAACTCTTGACACCGCACAGGTCTACCCAAAAGTTCAGACCATGTGACTAAGTGCACAGTCCAATCTCTTCTTAAATTCAGTCAGGCTCGGTGCAGTGACCACTTCCCTGGGGAGCCTGTTCCAGTGTGCAGCCACTCTCTCTGTGAAGAATCCCCTCCTGATGTCAAGCCAAAATATCTCTGTGATTGCTCCAGTAGGTACTTCCCAGCAACCTAATCCTGCTCCTGCGGGTCCAGTCCAGGCAGTCAGAACTGAATGATTTCAGCGGATAGCACTAAGGGAGCTGTAACGTGATGGTCACAGCACCCCCCAAGTGAAGGAAAATACAAATTCATATTTTCACAGATAGAGGGTGAAACTAAACCCAGGTTCCCCTAAAAACCAAGTTTGGGACTTTTTAATCACCAAATTACAGGAAAAGCACAGTTTGTCCTACCCCTTAAACATTCATGCCTTGTATACAGGGGCCCCATAGGCATCTCACATGCTGAACTGAGCTCCAAGTGGAGCAAGTGGTTCCTTGTAACCCAGTTTTAGTTTTGAGGATGCTGAGAGACAAATTGGTAAATGTTGGGACTGTACTTCCCAACCTTAAACACCTCATGAATAGCAGAGCTGGCAAAATGGACCATTTGTCAGTGTCCTGGTTAAGAATTTGCAGTGTGGTCCCACCCTAGCATTCCTGAGCGCCCGCTGCAGGGGCTGAGACAAATGTGCGTAGTCCATCTGCCAATTTTCCAGTTGCAGCCTCGATACCTGCTCACGGGCTGCCACAGAGCAGCATCTTTCGAGATTCCTTGGCACTAAACCCCGACCGCCGTGCCCGCAGTCACATAAATGCCATCAGCCTTTCGCAGCACCACGTTCAGCCAGCTTCTTGTTCGGGGTGCATCCCACATGATCCCATTCCTCCCCTTGCCTCCGCCACGTACCATACAGGAAACCCAGAGAGAGAAGTGGGCATCACGGATGTCACCAAGCTCCGGGGCTGTGTAATGTTAACAGCCACGCTGCTGAGCACTGCAGCACCGAGACCCCCGTGCCCCAAACCCACACGCCCTTGTAAGCGACATGCAGCTGTAATTCTTTCTCTGGAAACGGGAACACAGAAACAATCCCACTAATGCTAATGAGGTATCAACTAATACAATGACAAATGCCCTACGAATGCCTAAGTAGTTACTCACTGAATGAATAAATAAATAAGGCAAAGGGCACTGGCTGCACGCAGAGATTTAAACTAACCAGCTGTCTTCTCCTGGGAGAGGCGTCTACTCTGCGTCCCAAGCGAGGAAGGGTTTGCAAACTAGAAAAATGGCATGTGACAAGGTACTTCGTTCCCCATCCTTTGCACTCACAGGGGAGTCAAAATTACAGATGTTGCCTAATTTTTAGAGCATCTGACATTGTGTCAGTGCTCTTTGAACGCTGTTTAGTGCATATAGTACAGAGTTAAATGTGCATAGCTTCAGGGCCCTGAAACTCTGCAATACCAGGGAGGGAATTAAGGACATAGCGGCAATCTTCACTCAGAATTCCCTTGCTTTTGTCAGATGAAGTTAAATCTCGAAAGATATTGCAACAAGCTGTAGCTTTTTTTTTTTTGCATTTAATTAGATTTATGGCCCACTTGGTTATCGCAGGCTAGTTGGAAACAGGCGTGCGCACACTGTGCAGTCAGCACATCGATGCTGCTTCTGGGAAAGCGCCAGCCAGAAGTTACAGGAGCTGCATGTGGCAGCTTTTGTTAGGGGAACAAAAACAGTTCAGCTGGGTTAAGCAGAGTATTTACTTGTGAGGCAAACTGCATTTGTGTATGTACTTGTGAGGCCCAGAAGGCAGCTTCACTTGGAGTAGTAACGTTTCTCAGAATTTCGATGTCCAAATGGGTAAGGGACTGAGTATCTGGTATCTCAAGGAGTACAACACCTAGAATCTCAGCCAGCAAGCTTAGCCTAAAATGAGGTCAGAGCAAACACTTGAGTTTAAATTCATGTTTTTGCAGCTCATTGTAGTATCTATAAAAATCTATAGACCAACTGTCACAGCGACAAGTATCCTCTCCTTCACAGCGTGTTACTCAGAGCTCTTGGATCTTTCAACCATGCTGGTGGCATCCACGTACAAGAGCAAGGCAACTGACACACCTGAGGAAAACCAAACTGCAATACCACCAGTGACCTGCGTAACCAGTTCCACTCCCCTTTTCTGTGGATGTCACAGGACTAAGAGCAGGTTTGTCATACTCTGGCAGACATTTCAGGAGAAGTTTTACTACACAAATTAAACCATACGATGCCTGCATTTACCACTGGATTTCAACTTTTTTTTTTTTTTTTTTCTTTTTTAACTGAAGTGTTGACAACTCAACTAATGGTGACCAGTAGTGAATTACTAGTGTAAATTGTTGGCTCAAACTTGTACTTCTGAAAAATGAAAAAAAACCAACAACTACTAACTTTGTGGGGATAGGGCTCTTTCTCAAGAAGTGCAGACCAGGCCATAAGTGGCTGCTAGATGGCCCTTACTGTATGCAAGGGCTTTGTTTGATGATGAAAACAAAAACTTCTTGATTTGACACACGGAGGGTCATTCTACTTAGCGTGCCACACGTGAGGAGAGGCAGAATGTGACTGGTGTTATTCTGTGCAGCTAGCACACTAAGTCCAGCTCTCTCTCATTGTAAATCTGTTTTCCAGCTCCTGAAATGTTTGCTATAGACTTTTTTTTTTTTTTTGGTTTGTTTGTTTGTTTTTTTGAAGAATTTTTTGTTAGCGCCTAATGGATTGTGGAGCCAGGGGAGAGGGCAGAATAAAATTACACTCTAGGCAGAATAAAATTATGCTCCAGATAGCCTCTTACAACAGAGTGAGCTTCTGCACCACATTTCAGCCAGGAGCATGCTTTTGCTGCTGAGTCATAAACCCTGAAAGACACTGTTTATTATATAATAGAGCCCTCACCTATAGCTGGGCTAGGTGGTGCCTATAGCAACATCAAAGGCCTCCTTCATTACAAAACAAAGCGACTGCAAAGTTCTTCGGTTTGTCATGAGGCTGTTGCTATGGTTTTATTTTTAGGAGAAACTGTTTACTCTCCTCTGTTTACTTCAAGAGCAGAATTTACAGTTGAAACATTAAGTATGTGTATCAGTACCCATCTACAAAAATAGATCCATTTTAAGATAAGCTTTAAAGATAAGTATTCCTGCTGGGGTACACACATCTCAGGCTGATCAGAAAAGGCTTCCCAGGTGAGAAGACAAACTGTACATGAAATGGGATAGGTTCCAAAGTTTCAGGGAGGAAGAAATATAGCTCTTTTCTTCATACCCTGAAGAAGTTTGTTGCCATGAATCTCTAACCAACATATGAAAGGAAACTGTGAAAACACGGTGCAGAATCTGGCATTCCATTCCCCCACAGCCCCTTCTTTGTCAGACCCAGGCATTAAGCACACAATATGAATAAGGGAGAACTTTCTTAATGGGTAAATCTGCTGTTAACATTTTTAATGTGATGGGACTGCTCGCTTGCTTACAGAATTAATACTGTTAAATCGACGTGGGTCACAGGCAAGAGCAACTGATCTGCTGAGTACAAGCCTCATGATAAACCCCACAATGTTGGTCCCTTCTTGTAAGAATCCAGGAACTGGAACAAGGCAGATCTATGAACCAAACCTGAAATACATTAGGACAGTGAAATGAAGACTTATGGAAATACAAGCTGTGGTAGGTATATTTGATGCAGTTCAAGTTCATTTTCTCTTCAAAGATTACAAATTGTTCCAAAATACTTTTATAACCTTCAAAATTTTCAATAAAAAATAGGTGTTAACCTGAAAATTGTGATTTGGGGTGAAAGTGTCATTATTAATAAAGGAGTTATTCTAAGTAGTATTTCAAATTAACACCTTTAAACACAACATTTAATTGGGGAAACCAGTTATGTATCAGAGAACGATTAAATGTACGACTACATTTGGTGCCCCAGAAAAGGCATTTAGCACATCCAGTAGCCACTGTATAAGACCATATAAAAAATGCCCCAGCAAACAATTTGAAATGTTTAGCTACTAAAATAGTAACTTTACAAGTTTTAGCTATGGGCTAGCTGCTTATGGAGAAGCCTTACAGGTGGCATTGGCAGCAGCATCGCATTTTTAAAGGGAGAGAATATGAGCTACGTTGAAATGACAGAGGAGGTCTCTGATTCCAAAGTTGAATGAGTTATTCAAAAGGAACTTTAGGAAGATCCAAAACAGAACTGAAAATGCATCAAAAGATTTAAAGCAATGTAGGTTCATAATTTGCAGACATCTGCAAGCAGCTGTGCAATCTTCAAAAGAATAGTAATCTTGACAGATACCTCAGTTTGGGATGACAAAAATGATTGTATGACCGGCAACCAATATGTCATGGATCAGAAAGATCTGTGAAGTGAGAAAAAGAAGCAATAACATGGCCAGTTAGAAATTCCCAACAGTGGTGAGACACAGCATGATCTTAAGGAGCTAGAAAAACTAAACTGGAGAACGATAACCAACAGCTGCAGAATACAGCAAAGTACCAATATAAAATACAGAACTGGTCTGCCAGTAAATCTGGGTGAGCTGGCTAAGATAACATTTCAGTAAATTGAAGATGGCCAGTAAACAGGTGAACAATTTCACCGCTTCACCTCTGATTAAGCTGTAGAACTAGACCCTCAAAGAGATGCCATGCTATCCAGACCTGAAACAAACACTGACATGTTAGTTTAAGTGCAGCCATTCACATGAGCTGGCGAATGCATGGTAAGAGCTAGAATCATAGAATCACAGGATCACATAGGTTGGAAAAGGCCTCTAAAGTCATCTAGTCCAACCTTTAACCTAGCACTGCCAAGCCCACCATTCAACCATGTCACTAAGCTCTACATCTACACGTTTTCTAAAGACCTCCAGGGATGGTCTCATCTACTACTTCTCTGGGCAGCCTGTGAATATTTCACAATCCTTTTAGTGAAGAATGTTTTCCTAATATCCTATCTAAACCTCCCCTGGTGCAACTTGAGGCCATTCCCTCTTGTCATACCTCTTGGTGCTTGGGAGAAGAACTCAATCCCCACTTCACTGTAGCCTCTTTCAGGTAACTGTAGAGTGCAATAAGGTCTCTCCTGAGCTTCCTTTTCTCCAGGCTAAACAACCTCAGCTCCCTCAGCCATTCCTCAAAAGATTTGTTCTCTGGACTCTTCAGGAGCTTTGTTGTCCTTCTTAGGACTGGTCCAGCCTATCCAGATCCATCTGCAGCACCCTCCTAGCCCCAGGCAGATCAACACTTGCACCCAACTTGTTGTTGTCTCCAAACGTACTGAGGGTACACTCTCCCCTCATCCAGATCACTGATAAAGACATTGAAGAGAAGTGGCCCCAGTGCTGAGCCCTCAGGGACACCACTTGTGACTGGCCTCCAGCTGGATCTAACTCCATTCACCTCTCCTTGGGCTTTTCCAAATCCCTTGACAGAATAGGGAAAAAAAAAAAAAAAAAAAAAAAGACAACATAAGAGGCCTGTGGAGACTTTGTTTATTGCTTATCCAGATGCAGCTGAGAAGGCTATGAAAAAATTGTGATGTAGAAATACTGAAGTGGATGTGGACTCACAGATTGAGATCAAGAACTGTGGCTGAAGAGATTTAAAGGCAATTCTGCGTAAAAAAGGACCTAAAGGACACAAGCAGATGTCTGTCTTTAGACCAGCTTGTTGTTTTGTAGCCCATTAGATAGGCTACATTTGTGGGATATACAAGGATATGCAGTATGTTAGATGACCATGTCTGCTAGAGACTTTGCGTTACGTGACCCAGCTATAGGAAGATCTCGTCTCCTCTGATCCTACATCCACCGTTCCAGGTGTCACTGTATTTCTAGGACATGCAGTTGAGGAAAACCCCTGCGTGAAGTTCAGCTCCTCCAGCTCTCACACAACCCACAAGGTTACCGGGACACTGGGGACCGCTGCCATTCACCCGCTTCTGCTTCACCTGCCGTCAAGAGCGGGGACAAGAGGCGGGCAGCTGACACAGCAGCACTTTGAAACATGCTTTTTGACACATGCTGCTTGTGAAAGCCCTGAGGTGGCTGAAGCAGCGGAGATAGAAGGTGGGTGACTGCTGTGCGGGTGGGCAGCGCAGTGATGTGAGGTGACCATGAACCAGGCACTGATCGGTGGAGACAGAGTGAGGTCAGCGTACTTGGGCACAACAAGAGGGGGACATTTCTGTCACGGGAAACACTCCTGCGATGTGTGTTGGTGCTTACAAGTTACCCCCGCCGCCCCGCGGGCAGCGCCCCGTCCTCCCCCGTCCCCTCCCTCCCGCCACTGGGCGCCGCCGCGCAGGCCCCGCCGCCCGCCTCCTCCGCCCCCCCCGGAAGGCGTCCGCGCCGTGCCCCGGAAGCGGTGGCGGGCGGGGTCCGGCGCAGCGCGAGGCCCTGCGGCTGCCGGGTGGCGCTGCCGTTACCGCGGGACGCGGGGCCCGGCCCGGCCCGGCCCCGGCTCGGCGCTGGCGGCGGCCGCCGGAGGAGGTGGGTGCAGGGCCCGGGGCTTCCCCCCGCCACGGCTCCGCCTCGGGGGCCGCCTGCGGGGCGAGCCGGGGCTCGGGCCGGGCTGCTGGAGAGGGGGGTGCCGGCTCTGAGGCGCGTTGTCTGTCGCGATAGTCGCGATGGGTGTCCTGAGGGGAGGCGAGGTGGCGGTGCTGGGGTGCTGCGCGGGGAGCGGGGGTCGGGGGTGGCGTCGGGAAGGTGCCGGGGGGGGTGCGAAAAGCTTTAGGGAGGGTTGTGGTGTCTGTGGGGCTGCTGAGGAGACTTTGGGGGCTGTGGGTGAGGTGCGAGGGGGCAGAGGGGTGGGCGCTGTCACGGCAGAAACGCCCGGTCCTGACAGTGCCCTGAGCACCCCCGTGCTGGGGCTCTGTCAGCGGCCCTGCGCCCCTTGCCCCACAGCATGTTTACATTTAGGGGAGGGAAGGGCCAGTATTGCTAAGGTGAGAAGGGATCTCACCCGGCTCAGACCCATGGGCATCCCACTGTCCTGCCCGGGTCAGCAGAACCGCCGGGACGTTGCTTCGTCGCCTGTGTGTTCATCTGAAATGCACACAGCTGAAAAGAAATGTGTGTTGGTGTCAGCACGAGCTGCCAGTTCAACCCAAAAAATATGAACCGCGTTACAAAAGCAGAGTGATTAAGGAAAGCAAAGTGATTAAGGTCGTCGTTTCTTCACCGAGAAGCTCTGGGTTTATGTGCTTGCAGGTAAAGGATGCTTTGAAAACGCTCGGTGACAAAACACTCCAGCAGGTGTGTTTATACCAGGCTACGCGGCTTCCCAGGGCTTTGGGAAGGGGCTTGCCTTCCAGCTCAGTGTCTTGTCTTGGACATTGGTGCTTAGTTGTAGCCAAATAATCTGGTCTCGTTTCTGTGTAATCCTCGCACGGTAACTCGGTCTGCTTCTTCCTTGTGTAAGAAACTTCTGTGAAAGGGAAGTAGCGCAGCCTGTAGTGTAGGCAGCCTGTGGAAGAATCCCGGTTTGTAGGGAAAGGAGTTTCATGAACTGTCGAAGAACACGATATATGGCACTTGTGGATCTGTCAGTGTAATTCTGTGCTTCAGCTGCCGGGCTCCTGATCTCTGAGGCTGATCTGGGATGTGTCCTGTCTGATAAATTAGCGTGTTTCTGTCCTCTGTTAAACTGGGTGAGCGTAAACAAATATATTTACATGCCATAGAAATTGCTCCCTTTCAATCTGATGATGCAATAATAAATTGCACTGCTTGGAAGTTAGCAATGTTATTTCTAACCACCTACCTGTACCACTGCTTACGATACTGCACACTTCAAAAATCAGCTTGAAAGTAGCTGTCTCTGTGTTCATCGGGGGTCTAATCCAGAACCCAACTCAGCCTTACTGCCTTCTGCGACCATCGGCTCTTGTGGTTGAAGCAATTGAATTAATTAAATTAAATTAAGCAACCGGCTCTTTGAATAGTGGGCGAAATCCACTCCTGAGCAGAGATAGGACCACTTCAATCACCTGGACTGTTATTTAAATTTCTGGTAAACGTTAAATTCCAGTCAAGATAATACTTGACGTGGCTGTGTTGGGTTTATGGCGTAGATGTTCTCATTAAACAAAAAGCCCGGGCCGATTTAATCAGTGCTGCTGAGAAGAAGGCCTGGCGAAGGCGCCGTTATTAGGTTAGTGTCGCTCCCGCTCTGTCTTCATTTCGCTAACCATGACGAGTGGAGCTGGCCCACGCCGCTACCGCTTCTGCCCAAGCAGGCTGTGTCTGCTTTGGCTTCTGAAAAAGGAGTGACAGCACTCGGTCTGAAATCTGGTGTGAAAAATAATCACGGTGAGCTGCTTTGGCAAGTCACAAGCAGGTCAAAGTCGGGCTTTCTGCCTTCTGTCCTCCTTCCCGCTGTCCATCCCTTGGGGATGGATATGAGGGGCTGAGCTGCTGGAGGATTGATTGTGTCTCTGGGTTACAGCTCACAGGCGTATTTCACCTCTAAGACCCCTTAAATCCGTGGCATCACATTGCTGATTTCGTTACACACTCCGAAGGGATGTTGAGGGAAGAATCTGGCCTTTGTATACTAATGCCTGTATTTTTTGGTGCTCTGTTTGGTACCTATTGTTTCATTTAGCGGTGCTTAATGGGAAAAATACGTTCCTGCTTATAACTGCTGCTCATCCGTCAGATTCTTGAACAATGAATGTGTTCAGCGTGTATGTTGAGTTTGACTGACCTTGTCTTTAAAAAAAAAAAAAAAAAAAAAGTTTTTGAAGTAACACTGGCTTTGCTCCATAATATCTGAGAGGTTCACTCAGTTGTGGATTGCTGCACTGGGCTATTCCCTCCTCTGTTGCCATATTATTATTTATATAGTATCCTGAGAGTACTGCATGGTGCACATGCAAACTGCACAGGCACAGTTCCAGGCCTGAAGACCTTCAATCTAAACAGACAATATAGAACGGGCGGTGTAATAAATTGCAGAGCTTTCCTTGAACTCTAAGTGGTGTCTTTCAGCTCTAAGATTACAGCCTTTAACCACTTTGAACCGAAAAGCATTTTTTACAGTTCTCATCCTTCTGTAGCACCACAACTCAATCCGACCAGATGGGTAAGTGAAGTGACTGCTCTTCTCCAAGTTGCACCACTTTATTATTATTATTTTTTTTTTTTTTAAGAAAAAAAAGGCTTATTTTTTTAAAAACAAACAAACAAAAAAAAACCAACAGTATTTCTGGAAGTCACTTGAATAAAAATGGTTCTTAGGGTTTTAAAAAAGGAGATAAGACTTGAGCCAAAACTCTCTGTAGATGTCCCATTTGTATCCAAAAGGCTTTGAATTGGGGCGTTGGAGAAGACATGCAGTTGTTTGGTACAGAAGTGAGTACCCTTGGAATGAAAATGTAAGAACAAAAGCTCTAAGCCTTTGACAAAATAATCCTGTATCAACCAATTGTAAATGTTGAACAACAACAATAACAAAAAAAAAAGCACTTCAGGCTGTTTTACAGAGGTTTGCACTGCCAAGTGGATCTTAAATAAGATGAGGATATGCAACGTGCCCTGAGCGCTACCAAGATGAGGAACTATTTGAACCGGCTCTGGAAAGGCCATGGGTATGACAGAGAAGGGAAAAAACTATCACAGATCATCTGTGGTCCACAGTTACCAGCTCAGGTTTTCCATCACAAGGGAGCTTTCTTCCCTGAGGGAGCTCAAGCTTGCTTAACAGTGGGATAAATTTCCACAAGAGTCGAAGGCTCATAAACTTAAATGTTTTCACTTCAGCTGGAAGATTTATTTCTTTGGGGTTCTTTAACATGGAACAAGTATTTATATTTTGTTTTTAAATGCCTTGTTAAACCAAAAACAACTCTGTTACCCTTTTCTGTTCCTGCTAAGAGGCAAGTAGGGATTATAAACTTGATGGGCCAAGTATCTCCCTGACAGATAGAGCTAGACCCACCTGAGTCAAGTTGCGCTGGGAAAGCTTCCACGAGCCAGCCAGCCCTCCTTGGTCTCCATCCTTCAGACTCTCCCCCACACGTGTTTCTGTGTCAGAGAATAATGCTGGTGTGTGTTTTGATCCCATCCTTGATTTGGCTCAAAATCTAAGCTATTAAAAGTAATTGAAGGGAAATACAATTATTTCTGCTTAAAATAATTATTGCTTAAAATACCCTTAAATTAACAAGTCTGCTTTTATTTCCCATGTTTCCAGCAATTATGTCGTTTGCTTATGCCAGCTTCGTGTGTGAATTTCAGCAGTCCTGAAGCTGAGAAATAATACGCTGGCTGTAAACTGAGGCACCGTAGAAGCACATTTATACTCCATTACCAATATTTCTGCTTTGCCATACTTCATCTGTTCTTGTGTTATGCCTCTTCTGATTTTGGAGGATGGGGAATGAAGGAGAGAGAAGCCTGCTGCACCAGTGCTCAGAACTGTTGATCTTGCACTTTCTCTGACCACTGCTTTCACTAACAAATTATGATTAAGAGGCAGGAAAGAAGAGTAATCCTGCCAGTGTGAGCTTGGGTTCCCTCTGCAGATTTATTGCTGAGCAGGCAGAGTTGTTTTGGAAGGCAGAAAGAGAGCGTGTTTTGCTGTTTCTCAACTTGACAATTTGACTTCTTCAGAGCAGCTTTCATTTCTTGCATAAAGTAATATATCCACCCCAGGGAAACTACACAAAGGCAGTGTGGGGGCAATTTACTTCAATATTTACATTAAGGGTAATTCGAATTAATGCATTTTATCTTTTCTATCCAGATAGGAAAAACGCTGGATGAAAACAAACACAATTATATCTGATTTTGCTGAGTCAGATCCACCTCTGCTAGGGGAAAAAAAAAAAAAAGAAAATCCAAGTTGCAACTTTAAATGTTCCTTTAAATGTTCTTCCTTGGCACAAATAGTAATAATAGTAATTATAATATATTTTTTATTTTTTATTTTTTGAAAAGCCAGGGCCTCTCTCTCTGAGAAAGGACACAGGAATTTCTGTGTTAGAGAAAGAAGTTTCAGAAGGGCAGGGGTATGAAACTCTGGTACATGATACAGATTTAATCTGACCTTAAAGACCATCTCCCAAAGATAATTCAGTTATTCTGCTAACTGCAGTGTCCCATATGTGTGCAAATGCTTAAATGGCAACGCTGCTCTCTGTGGTTTGTTGTGAAGGTACCTGCTGCCCCTGTGGGCACTGGGTGCCCTCAGAGTCATGTTAACAATCTCTGAGCATGAAAAAAAGGTTGTATAAGTGGTAGAACCTGGAATGATTAATCCAGCCATTTATGAAAAGCATCAGAAATATGCTATAAGAAACACTTGAAGTCATTCTGTAAGCTGATGGCAAAACACACCAAAGCAGCTGTTCAGTAAAAGTTTCCATCAATACACCAGTCATCTTTTCTCGCTGCCTCAGATCCTGCAAGTTGCCATCCTACAGCCTCAGACTTTTCTGCTAGTGCAGTGCTTTTGCTAACTGGGAACTACAGCAGGACATATGCTTTGAGGGTGCAGGCCCAAGGACAAAGTGGTGTTATTTGTAGCATTTTCTATCTGGTAGTCACCATTCATAACTTACAACTTGTACCATGAAAAGGCTGAGAAAACCATTGATTGATTTAAATCTGACTTAATTTTTCACCAAAGGCAAAAACTCCACGCACTGGTGCTTAATCATCCTTTGCATCATGTACAAGCATGCAGTTTTCCATACAAATTCCATAAGGTGTTTAATCTGCTATTGCAAAAATACTTATTTGCATACAATCACACCCTACTGTGGTTTTAAATGTTTTCTGAGAATACATTTTGAGCCTATTATCTTAACCTCACTGCCTTTCTACCCACATATAGACTAGCAGACATGCAAACCCTTTAATTTTTATTCTGGCCTGACTGCAATTAAGTTGAAGTGCATTTGTTCTTTAAAACTATAGGACTCAGCTTATTCCATAAGTATTGTTTGTGACTGCACTGTCGTACAGCTGCCGAGCTGCAGCACGGGCTGTGTCTTTCAAATAAAAGACAGATCTCCTCTTGTTACAGGAGAAAGCAGCGATGGGCAGGTCGGGGTATTTTTGTAGTGCAAATTGTTTGTTCGTGCCATGCATCCCAGTTGCTGAACACAGTCAGTCACAGAGAGCACACGGGCATCTTATCTTCCAAAAATCTTAACCTAAATACCGAGAAGCACTGACCCTGGAATATTCCTGGAGTATCTTCCAGGAATGAGGCTGCACAGCCGCTCTGGACAACTTCTTCCAACATTTGACTACATAGGAGAAATGTATGTTTAGCCTCTACATTTCTGGAAACAGTGAGCTCCATACTCTTGTTCTGTAGCATCTGAAAAAAAAAAAAACAAACACCACTATCTTTTGACTGTTTTAAACCTGTTCATTACTTCCCATGTTGCCACTTACTAGAAGCACTGGATGATAGCTCCCTACTTTCTCTCCACAGCCCACCACTTCCTGTAATTCAGCCCCCTTCCCTCAGTCATCCAGGCATGGTGCATTTTGTCTTTGTCAAACTGAAAAGTCCAAGTGTTGGCAGTCATGTTCTAAACAGAAATCATTATCAATGCTTTATTATTCTTTTTCTACATTCATATTCTTTCTGATGTGGGACACCAGAGCTTCATGCTGTTCTCAAGATGTGGCCGTACCACCGACCTCCATAAAGATGTCACAGCACTCTTTGCTCTGCTGTCTCCCTTTTCAAATAATTCCTGATATTTTTCACTTGGAGCTAGAAATGAAGTTTCTGAAGATCCACCTCTAGTGACTCTTAAGATGTCTTCCCTCTGTAAAACCATGCGCATATAATTAAGATTGGTTTTGCCCATATGCATCAGCTTGCATGTACTGAGACTGAATTTCAGCTTCTAGCTTAACACCCGTGCTCAGCAGGATGGGATCCCTCCGCAGCTCCTTGCTGTCAGTGTTGTATTCCATGACTGCAGAGGATTTTGCGTCAGCAGCAAACTGTGCTGCTGCCTTACTCACTCTCCTTCCAAGACCATTTCTGAGTACGCGAACCCGGGCAGGTCCCAGCATGAGTCCTCGTGGGAGTCTGATCGTAACGTTCCTGCAGTGTAAAAAATAACTATTTATTGCTTCCCCATTAACCCTTCTCTTCCAACCCGTTACTAATTCACACGACAGCCTTCCTTCCAGACCTGTGACAGCTAACTTTAAGAGTGGGACTGTGCCTAAAACTCTTTTGAGATCACTGCCTTGACTATATCAGCCTGGTTTATCAGTTTGTTCATTTCGTCAAAGAGCTTCGTAACTGTGACAAAGCTTTTCTATCTACAAAATGCTGTGTTGATTTTTCCACGGTCTGACGTACTTGTTTGTACACTGAAGCCTCACCCCAGCTCCCTGCCACTGATTTGCCTGTGTGACCTGAGACATGTCTTGGTTAGGTCTCAGTAAGAGGACTCAGATGCTTTAAGTGAACACCTACGATCCTCAAATCCAAAATAACTACCTTCAAAATCCTTACCCAGTTGCTTCCCAGCCATGGAGATGCTCACATTCCATGAATTCTGATTTCAGTGAGGTTCAAAGAATCAAAGAATCAAAGAATATCCTGAGTTGGAAGGGACCCTTAAGGATCATCAAGTCCAACTCTTGACACCGCACAGGTCTACCCAAAAGTTCAGACCATGTGACTAAGTGCACAGTCCAATCTCTTCTTAAATTCAGTCAGGCTCGGTGCAGTGACCACTTCCCTGGGGAGCCTGTTCCAGTGTGCAGCCACTCTCTCTGTGAAGAATCCCCTCCTGATGTCAAGCCAAAATATCTCTGTGATTGCTCCAGTAGGTACTTCCCAGCAACCTAATCCTGCTCCTGCGGGTCCAGTCCAGGCAGTCAGAACTGAATGATTTCAGCGGATAGCACTAAGGGAGCTGTAACGTGATGGTCACAGCACCCCCCAAGTGAAGGAAAATACAAATTCATATTTTCACAGATAGAGGGTGAAACTAAACCCAGGTTCCCCTAAAAACCAAGTTTGGGACTTTTAATCACCAAATTACAGGAAAAGCACAGTTTGTCCTACCCCTTAAACATTCATGCCTTGTATACAGGGGCCCCATAGGCATCTCACATGCTGAACTGAGCTCCAAGTGGAGCAAGTGGTTCCTTGTAACCCAGTTTTAGTTTTGAGGATGCTGAGAGACAAATTGGTAAATGTTGGGACTGTACTTCCCAACCTTAAACACCTCATGAATAGCAGAGCTGGCAAAATGGACCATTTGTCAGTGTCCTGGTTAAGAATTTGCAGTGTGGTCCCACCCTAGCATTCCTGAGCGCCCGCTGCAGGGGCTGAGACAAATGTGCGTAGTCCATCTGCCAATTTTCCAGTTGCAGCCTCGATACCTGCTCACGGGCTGCCACAGAGCAGCATCTTTCGAGATTCCTTGGCACTAAACCCCGACCGCCGTGCCCGCAGTCACATAAATGCCATCAGCCTTTCGCAGCACCACGTTCAGCCAGCTTCTTGTTCGGGGTGCATCCCACATGATCCCATTCCTCCCCTTGCCTCCGCCACGTACCATACAGGAAACCCAGAGAGAGAAGTGGGCATCACGGATGTCACCAAGCTCCGGGGCTGTGTAATGTTAACAGCCACGCTGCTGAGCACTGCAGCACCGAGACCCCCGTGCCCCAAACCCACACGCCCTTGTAAGCGACATGCAGCTGTAATTCTTTCTCTGGAAACGGGAACACAGAAACAATCCCACTAATGCTAATGAGGTATCAACTAATACAATGACAAATGCCCTACGAATGCCTAAGTAGTTACTCACTGAATGAATAAATAAATAAGGCAAAGGGCACTGGCTGCACGCAGAGATTTAAACTAACCAGCTGTCTTCTCCTGGGAGAGGCGTCTACTCTGCGTCCCAAGCGAGGAAGGGTTTGCAAACTAGAAAAATGGCATGTGACAAGGTACTTCGTTCCCCATCCTTTGCACTCACAGGGGAGTCAAAATTACAGATGTTGCCTAATTTTTAGAGCATCTGACATTGTGTCAGTGCTCTTTGAACGCTGTTTAGTGCATATAGTACAGAGTTAAATGTGCATAGCTTCAGGGCCCTGAAACTCTGCAATACCAGGGAGGGAATTAAGGACATAGCGGCAATCTTCACTCAGAATTCCCTTGCTTTTGTCAGATGAAGTTAAATCTCGAAAGATATTGCAACAAGCTGTAGCTTTTTTTTTTTTGCATTTAATTAGATTTATGGCCCACTTGGTTATCGCAGGCTAGTTGGAAACAGGCGTGCGCACACTGTGCAGTCAGCACATCGATGCTGCTTCTGGGAAAGCGCCAGCCAGAAGTTACAGGAGCTGCATGTGGCAGCTTTTGTTAGGGGAACAAAAACAGTTCAGCTGGGTTAAGCAGAGTATTTACTTGTGAGGCAAACTGCATTTGTGTATGTACTTGTGAGGCCCAGAAGGCAGCTTCACTTGGAGTAGTAACGTTTCTCAGAATTTCGATGTCCAAATGGGTAAGGGACTGAGTATCTGGTATCTCAAGGAGTACAACACCTAGAATCTCAGCCAGCAAGCTTAGCCTAAAATGAGGTCAGAGCAAACACTTGAGTTTAAATTCATGTTTTTGCAGCTCATTGTAGTATCTATAAAAATCTATAGACCAACTGTCACAGCGACAAGTATCCTCTCCTTCACAGCGTGTTACTCAGAGCTCTTGGATCTTTCAACCATGCTGGTGGCATCCACGTACAAGAGCAAGGCAACTGACACACCTGAGGAAAACCAAACTGCAATACCACCAGTGACCTGCGTAACCAGTTCCACTCCCCTTTTCTGTGGATGTCACAGGACTAAGAGCAGGTTTGTCATACTCTGGCAGACATTTCAGGAGAAGTTTTACTACACAAATTAAACCATACGATGCCTGCATTTACCACTGGATTTCAACTTTTTTTTTTTTTTTTTTCTTTTTTAACTGAAGTGTTGACAACTCAACTAATGGTGACCAGTAGTGAATTACTAGTGTAAATTGTTGGCTCAAACTTGTACTTCTGAAAAATGAAAAAAAACCAACAACTACTAACTTTGTGGGGATAGGGCTCTTTCTCAAGAAGTGCAGACCAGGCCATAAGTGGCTGCTAGATGGCCCTTACTGTATGCAAGGGCTTTGTTTGATGATGAAAACAAAAACTTCTTGATTTGACACACGGAGGGTCATTCTACTTAGCGTGCCACACGTGAGGAGAGGCAGAATGTGACTGGTGTTATTCTGTGCAGCTAGCACACTAAGTCCAGCTCTCTCTCATTGTAAATCTGTTTTCCAGCTCCTGAAATGTTTGCTATAGACTTTTTTTTTTTTTTTGGTTTGTTTGTTTGTTTTTTTGAAGAATTTTTTGTTAGCGCCTAATGGATTGTGGAGCCAGGGGAGAGGGCAGAATAAAATTACACTCTAGGCAGAATAAAATTATGCTCCAGATAGCCTCTTACAACAGAGTGAGCTTCTGCACCACATTTCAGCCAGGAGCATGCTTTTGCTGCTGAGTCATAAACCCTGAAAGACACTGTTTATTATATAATAGAGCCCTCACCTATAGCTGGGCTAGGTGGTGCCTATAGCAACATCAAAGGCCTCCTTCATTACAAAACAAAGCGACTGCAAAGTTCTTCGGTTTGTCATGAGGCTGTTGCTATGGTTTTATTTTTAGGAGAAACTGTTTACTCTCCTCTGTTTACTTCAAGAGCAGAATTTACAGTTGAAACATTAAGTATGTGTATCAGTACCCATCTACAAAAATAGATCCATTTTAAGATAAGCTTTAAAGATAAGTATTCCTGCTGGGGTACACACATCTCAGGCTGATCAGAAAAGGCTTCCCAGGTGAGAAGACAAACTGTACATGAAATGGGATAGGTTCCAAAGTTTCAGGGAGGAAGAAATATAGCTCTTTTCTTCATACCCTGAAGAAGTTTGTTGCCATGAATCTCTAACCAACATATGAAAGGAAACTGTGAAAACACGGTGCAGAATCTGGCATTCCATTCCCCCACAGCCCCTTCTTTGTCAGACCCAGGCATTAAGCACACAATATGAATAAGGGAGAACTTTCTTAATGGGTAAATCTGCTGTTAACATTTTTAATGTGATGGGACTGCTCGCTTGCTTACAGAATTAATACTGTTAAATCGACGTGGGTCACAGGCAAGAGCAACTGATCTGCTGAGTACAAGCCTCATGATAAACCCCACAATGTTGGTCCCTTCTTGTAAGAATCCAGGAACTGGAACAAGGCAGATCTATGAACCAAACCTGAAATACATTAGGACAGTGAAATGAAGACTTATGGAAATACAAGCTGTGGTAGGTATATTTGATGCAGTTCAAGTTCATTTTCTCTTCAAAGATTACAAATTGTTCCAAAATACTTTTATAACCTTCAAAATTTTCAATAAAAAATAGGTGTTAACCTGAAAATTGTGATTTGGGGTGAAAGTGTCATTATTAATAAAGGAGTTATTCTAAGTAGTATTTCAAATTAACACCTTTAAACACAACATTTAATTGGGGAAACCAGTTATGTATCAGAGAACGATTAAATGTACGACTACATTTGGTGCCCCAGAAAAGGCATTTAGCACATCCAGTAGCCACTGTATAAGACCATATAAAAAATGCCCCAGCAAACAATTTGAAATGTTTAGCTACTAAAATAGTAACTTTACAAGTTTTAGCTATGGGCTAGCTGCTTATGGAGAAGCCTTACAGGTGGCATTGGCAGCAGCATCGCATTTTTAAAGGGAGAGAATATGAGCTACGTTGAAATGACAGAGGAGGTCTCTGATTCCAAAGTTGAATGAGTTATTCAAAAGGAACTTTAGGAAGATCCAAAACAGAACTGAAAATGCATCAAAAGATTTAAAGCAATGTAGGTTCATAATTTGCAGACATCTGCAAGCAGCTGTGCAATCTTCAAAAGAATAGTAATCTTGACAGATACCTCAGTTTGGGATGACAAAAATGATTGTATGACCGGCAACCAATATGTCATGGATCAGAAAGATCTGTGAAGTGAGAAAAAGAAGCAATAACATGGCCAGTTAGAAATTCCCAACAGTGGTGAGACACAGCATGATCTTAAGGAGCTAGAAAAACTAAACTGGAGAACGATAACCAACAGCTGCAGAATACAGCAAAGTACCAATATAAAATACAGAACTGGTCTGCCAGTAAATCTGGGTGAGCTGGCTAAGATAACATTTCAGTAAATTGAAGATGGCCAGTAAACAGGTGAACAATTTCACCGCTTCACCTCTGATTAAGCTGTAGAACTAGACCCTCAAAGAGATGCCATGCTATCCAGACCTGAAACAAACACTGACATGTTAGTTTAAGTGCAGCCATTCACATGAGCTGGCGAATGCATGGTAAGAGCTAGAATCATAGAATCACAGGATCACATAGGTTGGAAAAGGCCTCTAAAGTCATCTAGTCCAACCTTTAACCTAGCACTGCCAAGCCCACCATTCAACCATGTCACTAAGCTCTACATCTACACGTTTTCTAAAGACCTCCAGGGATGGTCTCATCTACTACTTCTCTGGGCAGCCTGTGAATATTTCACAATCCTTTTAGTGAAGAATGTTTTCCTAATATCCTATCTAAACCTCCCCTGGTGCAACTTGAGGCCATTCCCTCTTGTCATACCTCTTGGTGCTTGGGAGAAGAACTCAATCCCCACTTCACTGTAGCCTCTTTCAGGTAACTGTAGAGTGCAATAAGGTCTCTCCTGAGCTTCCTTTTCTCCAGGCTAAACAACCTCAGCTCCCTCAGCCATTCCTCAAAAGATTTGTTCTCTGGACTCTTCAGGAGCTTTGTTGTCCTTCTTAGGACTGGTCCAGCCTATCCAGATCCATCTGCAGCACCCTCCTAGCCCCAGGCAGATCAACACTTGCACCCAACTTGTTGTTGTCTCCAAACGTACTGAGGGTACACTCTCCCCTCATCCAGATCACTGATAAAGACATTGAAGAGAAGTGGCCCCAGTGCTGAGCCCTCAGGGACACCACTTGTGACTGGCCTCCAGCTGGATCTAACTCCATTCACCTCTCCTTGGGCTTTTCCAAATCCCTTGACAGAATAGGGAAAAAAAAAAAAAAAAAAAAAAAGACAACATAAGAGGCCTGTGGAGACTTTGTTTATTGCTTATCCAGATGCAGCTGAGAAGGCTATGAAAAAATTGTGATGTAGAAATACTGAAGTGGATGTGGACTCACAGATTGAGATCAAGAACTGTGGCTGAAGAGATTTAAAGGCAATTCTGCGTAAAAAAGGACCTAAAGGACACAAGCAGATGTCTGTCTTTAGACCAGCTTGTTGTTTTGTAGCCCATTAGATAGGCTACATTTGTGGGATATACAAGGATATGCAGTATGTTAGATGACCATGTCTGCTAGAGACTTTGCGTTACGTGACCCAGCTATAGGAAGATCTCGTCTCCTCTGATCCTACATCCACCGTTCCAGGTGTCACTGTATTTCTAGGACATGCAGTTGAGGAAAACCCCTGCGTGAAGTTCAGCTCCTCCAGCTCTCACACAACCCACAAGGTTACCGGGACACTGGGGACCGCTGCCATTCACCCGCTTCTGCTTCACCTGCCGTCAAGAGCGGGGACAAGAGGCGGGCAGCTGACACAGCAGCACTTTGAAACATGCTTTTTGACACATGCTGCTTGTGAAAGCCCTGAGGTGGCTGAAGCAGCGGAGATAGAAGGTGGGTGACTGCTGTGCGGGTGGGCAGCGCAGTGATGTGAGGTGACCATGAACCAGGCACTGATCGGTGGAGACAGAGTGAGGTCAGCGTACTTGGGCACAACAAGAGGGGGACATTTCTGTCACGGGAAACACTCCTGCGATGTGTGTTGGTGCTTACAAGTTACCCCCGCCGCCCCGCGGGCAGCGCCCCGTCCTCCCCCGTCCCCTCCCTCCCGCCACTGGGCGCCGCCGCGCAGGCCCCGCCGCCCGCCTCCTCCGCCCCCCCCGGAAGGCGTCCGCGCCGTGCCCCGGAAGCGGTGGCGGGCGGGGTCCGGCGCAGCGCGAGGCCCTGCGGCTGCCGGGTGGCGCTGCCGTTACCGCGGGACGCGGGGCCCGGCCCGGCCCGGCCCCGGCTCGGCGCTGGCGGCGGCCGCCGGAGGAGGTGGGTGCAGGGCCCGGGGCTTCCCCCCGCCACGGCTCCGCCTCGGGGGCCGCCTGCGGGGCGAGCCGGGGCTCGGGCCGGGCTGCTGGAGAGGGGGGTGCCGGCTCTGAGGCGCGTTGTCTGTCGCGATAGTCGCGATGGGTGTCCTGAGGGGAGGCGAGGTGGCGGTGCTGGGGGTGCTGCGCGGGGAGCGGGGGTCGGGGGTGGCGTCGGGAAGGTGCCGGGGGGGGGTGCGAAAAGCTTTAGGGAGGGTTGTGGTGTCTGTGGGGCTGCTGAGGAGACTTTGGGGGCTGTGGGTGAGGTGCGAGGGGCAGAGGGGTGGGCGCTGTCACGGCAGAAACGCCCGGTCCTGACAGTGCCCTGAGCACCCCCGTGCTGGGGCTCTGTCAGCGGCCCTGCGCCCCTTGCCCCACAGCATGTTTACATTTAGGGGAGGGAAGGGCCAGTATTGCTAAGGTGAGAAGGGATCTCACCCGGCTCAGACCCCATGGGCATCCCACTGTCCTGCCCGGGTCAGCAGAACCGCCGGGACGTTGCTTCGTCGCCTGTGTGTTCATCTGAAATGCACACAGCTGAAAAGAAATGTGTGTTGGTGTCAGCACGAGCTGCCAGTTCAACCCAAAAATATGAACCGCGTTACAAAAGCAGAGTGATTAAGGAAAGCAAAGTGATTAAGGTCGTCGTTTCTTCACCGAGAAGCTCTGGGTTTATGTGCTTGCAGGTAAAGGATGCTTTGAAAACGCTCGGTGACAAAACACTCCAGCAGGTGTGTTTATACCAGGCTACGCGGCTTCCCAGGGCTTTGGGAAGGGGCTTGCCTTCCAGCTCAGTGTCTTGTCTTGGACATTGGTGCTTAGTTGTAGCCAAATAATCTGGTCTCGTTTCTGTGTAATCCTCGCACGGTAACTCGGTCTGCTTCTTCCTTGTGTAAGAAACTTCTGTGAAAGGGAAGTAGCGCAGCCTGTAGTTGTAGGCAGCCTGTGGAAGAATCCCGGTTTGTAGGGAAAGGAGTTTCATGAACTGTCGAAGAACACGATATATGGCACTTGTGGATCTGTCAGTGTAATTCTGTGCTTCAGCTGCCGGGCTCCTGATCTCTGAGGCTGATCTGGGATGTGTCCTGTCTGATAAATTAGCGTGTTTCTGTCCTCTGTTAAACTGGGTGAGCGTAAACAAATATATTTACATGCCATAGAAATTGCTCCCTTTTCAATCTGATGATGCAATAATAAATTGCACTGCTTGGAAGTTAGCAATGTTATTTCTAACCACCTACCTGTACCACTGCTTACGATACTGCACACTTCAAAAATCAGCTTGAAAGTAGCTGTCTCTGTGTTCATCGGGGGTCTAATCCAGAACCCAACTCAGCCTTACTGCCTTCTGCGACCATCGGCTCTTGTGGTTGAAGCAATTGAATTAATTAAATTAAATTAAGCAACCGGCTCTTTGAATAGTGGGCGAAATCCACTCCTGAGCAGAGATAGGACCACTTCAATCACCTGGACTGTTATTTAAATTTCTGGTAAACGTTAAATTCCAGTCAAGATAATACTTGACGTGGCTGTGTTGGGTTTATGGCGTAGATGTTCTCATTAAACAAAAAGCCCGGGCCGATTTAATCAGTGCTGCTGAGAAGAAGGCCTGGCGAAGGCGCCGTTATTAGGTTAGTGTCGCTCCCGCTCTGTCTTCATTTCGCTAACCATGACGAGTGGAGCTGGCCCACGCCGCTACCGCTTCTGCCCAAGCAGGCTGTGTCTGCTTTGGCTTCTGAAAAAGGAGTGACAGCACTCGGTCTGAAATCTGGTGTGAAAAATAATCACGGTGAGCTGCTTTGGCAAGTCACAAGCAGGTCAAAGTCGGGCTTTCTGCCTTCTGTCCTCCTTCCCGCTGTCCATCCCTTGGGGATGGATATGAGGGGCTGAGCTGCTGGAGGATTTGAGTGTGTCTCTGGGTTACAGCTCACAGGCGTATTTCACCTCTAAGACCCCTTAATCCGTGGCATCACATTGCTGATTTCGTTACACACTCCGAAGGGATGTTGAGGGAAGAATCTGGCCTTTGTATACTAATGCCTCTATTTTTTGGTGCTCTCGTTTGGTACCTATTGTTTCATTTAGCGGTGCTTAATGGGAAAAATACGTTCCTGCTTATAACTGCTGCTCATCCGTCAGATTCTTGAAACAATGAATGTGTTCAGCGTGTATGTTGAGTCCTTAAAGAGTGACTTCAGAACGGACAGTTGTCAGAGTGTGCGCTAAGAAAACTGCGAGATATTCTGCACGAGTAAGTAGGTTTAACAGTGACAACAAAAAAAAACTCTGAAAGGTGTGATGCTGACCTGAGGCTGAATGCTGTTAACTTCAGACAGTGTCCTAGGAGGTAGCGTATGACTCTGCTTAAATAACAGCGTGGTTTTCAAAGCCTGGCTTAAGGCTTTCAGGCTTTACTTAATGTTTCAGGGTGTGGATAGGCATTGCTTTTTGTAAAGATCTGTGAAAATTTTAGATACTGCACCCGCCAGCCGTTTGTCTCTTCTGCTCTGCCACTGATTAGGGCACTGAACGATCCTTTCCAGCGAAGGAGCTGCTGGGTAGTGGTGCTGCCTGCCCTCAGCACAGCAGAGCTGACGCTGGCCTTTACTTCAGCAGCCGGGTGCCACGGGGAATTCCTCCTGAAGTGGATGAATGAGCCCTTACGTGACCCCTGCTGCTGCAGGTCTGTAGGGGTGGCAGCCTCTCTCTGCCGGCTGGGGATGAGTAACCAGCTTCTGCTGGAAGAGCTCATCTGTCTGCTGCTGGTCAGCCACGTTTTCTGAAACAAATCTACTGGCTTTTGCTTTGGCTGCTGCTGTTGTTCTTTAGCAAAGCTGATTGAGGGGCTATTGGCTGAAAACTGCTGGCCAGAGATGCGTCGTTCCATGCAGCTTACACAGATGATATTTCAGTCATGTAGAAGTTGCACAAGAGCATGCTAACACAGCAGGCTTTGCATCTCTCCCTCTTAAGCATCTTTTTTTTTTCCCCCTTTGGTTATCCCTTCTGCTACGGGTAAGCTTTCATTTCAAACTTGAACTGGTCATAAACAGTTGGTGGTCTCTTCTCACATGTGTATGTGCCTGTATGTGTGTGCACCTCACGTGTTCCCCAACACGGCGCACTCTTCAGCTTCCTCCTTTCTGCTGCTGCTTGGCCGGCAGCAATGGTGCCACCTGGTTTAGTTCAGTCTTTATTACGGCCGACCTTCCTGGAGCCGTGCGATTCTCCAGGATTTCAGTCTTTCCCTCAAGCTTGAGATGACAACAAAAATAATTATCCCTGGGCTTTAATAAAAGAACTAATCACTTTTTTTTTTTTTTCCTGATGTTTATACAATAAAATTTCACGATTATTGCATGTTTGGGATCGACTATATGCATTCTTTTCTAATTAGTGGAAATGGCATTATGATTACTGCCTGTTTCCTTCTCTTCTTTTTGAATACTTTAATTTCACGGCTTTGTTCTCCTGAAACGGTCTCACATCCGTGTTGGAGTACTGCGGGTCTTGTTTTGTAAGCTGTGCTTCACCTGAGGCTGACTTGTAGGTGGCCCAGGGTAATCCCTGGACTTCTTGCTGGGACCTTGCTAACAAAGCCAGGCACCGTGTCTTTAGCCAGAAGAGCAGGTTTCCTCCTCCGGGCTTCTCTTTGTTGGGATTTTGGCCCTGGCAGGGCTCAGTTGCTACTGCTGTCGTTCCTATGGTGCTGATGGGTGCTGTAAACCACCGACCTGTCAGTGTGTGCTGACCCGGTGGTGAAAAGTCGCTTTAATTCCCTGCCTTCTCAAGGATAAAGCAGACCAGACCCTCTGTCCAGCATGAAAAACCAGGACTCCTGTGTATGCAACACTGCGCTGAGTATGTGGACAGGGGAAAGATATTCAGCGGTGTAATATTAGCTTAAACAACAAAGCTTCCGTAGAGTTTTGTCCTCATACATGATACTTTTTTGTAGCAGGATGTAGTCTGTAATGTGCCTTTATTTCATGACAGGGCAGAGAGGTGACGGGTTGTGCCGTGCCTGAGCACACGGTGACATCTCCTCCCCAAACTGAGCTCTTGAAGCAGCAGCTTTAAAAGGGAAACTCCCGCTGTTTTCTGCCGAAATGCGAACTCTGCCCTGGACGTTCACTTCGAGTGACAAACAAACGATCCGCTGCGAGCTGTAGTCCATTTTGGTAGCAGCGTGGCTTGTGCCGAGCTCCTCTGAAATGACAGCAGCAGCTTTTTGCTCGCTTGCACGGCCGAGCGAAGCCGAGCTGACTGTGCAGCAGCTCTCCTGCAGACGGCTACATTTTTCAGTCTATTTATGAGTATCAACAAACACTTTGTGCATACTTTTGCCGTGCGTTGAATGCTGCTATTTTCCTTTAATTTAGCTGAAAACTGGTAATGGAATTCCTGAGGTTTTGAAAGGAATAGCTCTTGGCAAGCCTCGAGTTTTGAAACCAAAGGCAAATTAAGATACCAGGCAAACCCAGGGAGGGCCACTACTTCAGGGAAGGATGGTAAGATTCTCCCGACATCTTGGAGACTGTTTCTTGTATTTATGTTGAAAATATACGTGGCTATCTTTGAATTACTCCTATGGAGCGTAGTTGTCGTTGTTGTTTTGTTTAATAATTAAAAAAAGATAATACTGAAACTCAAGTGGAGTATTTTTTTTTTCCTTGATACCATGGAAGAGGTTTAGCCTCTTTAGCCAACCATTAGAAGGAGAGGGTAGAGTACTCCTTTTAGGTTTTTCTTTGTCTCTGACTGTATTTCTCAGTAATTTGAGCATTGATTGAGGCATGTAATTAGACTGCAGGTTTTATACTAACTCAAACATGCTTTTCCTTCCAAGTGACCACAATAATCGCAACTGGAATAGTTATCATACATCTGTCAGGTGCTACAATGTGCAGCCAGGACGTTTATTTACATTTTCAAAGTGCTGCTGTGCTTTTTATAAAGCCTACA